ACACACACACACACACACACACACACACACACACACACACAAACCCAACTGACCCCCCCCCCGCCTCAGCCCACTCCACGCCGCTCCTCCCAGCCTGGCGGCTCCCCGAGCTCAACTGAGGCGGGCGCTCCTGCCCCCACCGGGAGCGCGCGCCTTGTCACGCTCGTGCTCAGGCCCGTGCATTTCTCTTTCTCCCCGCACGCGCGGACGAGCCAGAGCCGGCGCCCGCTCCTCCGCTCCACTCCGCTCTCCTCTCGCCGAGCGCCTTGGGGCTGCCAGGAGGCTGGAGGGAAGGCGCTCCGAGATGCGCTTGGCCGCTCAGCCCGAGCTGGATTCCCTCGCAGCGCCTCGCTAACGGGACTTATTATCCCCCAGCCCTGCAGCCTTTTCAGCCCCGGCGAGCCTTTTTCCCCGGCGAGAGAAAAGGCGACTTACCGGAGGGGGGAATAGAGAGGCTACTTGGGAGAAAGAGGCAACCCCTCCGGACGGGTTGGAAATGCGCCTCCTTCGGCATTTCTTGCTTCTTTCCGTCCAGCTCTTCTGCCTCTGCCCAATAGGTGAGTGAGGGCCGCTTGCCCGGCGTCGGTTGGGGCAACTTTGCCTTGGCGCCTCTGTCCGTCCCATTCTCTTGCCTTACTTGCACCCCGCGCCGTCGACGAGGCTGGGAAAGGTCCCCCTCTCGCTTTTCTTTTCTTCCCTTCCCTTCCTCCCTCGTCTCCCCTTCCCCACCTCTTCCTAGGCGCCTGGAACAAAACTTAAGGAATAGGGGCACTTCTGGGGTTTCATGCCTGGAGTGAGAAACGAGCCCTTTTGGCCTGTGGGCGTGGGACCAGGGCGACTAGAAGGACGCACCTGCTCCCTTCCCCCCCACTTCCTTTTTCGGCGATTGTGGTGGCCTCAGGTTGGGGAGGGGCGGGAATTTCTTGAAAGCAAGGGACATTTCTTGAAAGCGCCCCCCCCCTTCCCTGCTTCTATTTACCGGAGTGTAGGGAGCATAGCTTCCCCTGTACCGGCAGATCAGTAGATATGAAGAAGCTCCCTCCTTGCATTCTTCCCTCTCTGCCACATCCAGTAGGATTTCATACAGATCAGTGGCATTGCCATGAAATCGGCAACCGGGGATTGGGGGGGGGGGGTGTGGAGGAGGGAGAGAGAGAAAGAGAGAGCGAGCATAGGAAATCCGTTTCAGCCATTCTCCCTGGCAAAATGAAACATTTAGGTGAACATCTGCACATATGACCTATAAAAGAGAACGAGATGGGGAATAAGAAATTGCCTACAGTCCAAGCAGGGTGTTGACAACAGGCATCAACCTGTCTGTGCAGTGTCCTGGGTATTACATTGTATTACATGTTCAGGCAGTTAGCCCTGGATGTGAAAGCTCTTTCTTTTGAAATCAATGGCTCTTACCTCCGATGTAGTAGTTAGAAGTGGAATGCAAGGGAGGGAGGGGGTGAAATGTATTATATAGATATCTCACAGTTGCAAAACAATTTATTACTAATCTGCGTGCAGCCATCACTTACTTATTCAAATACTGGATGGTTTTTTTTTAACACTACAACTTGCATAATCAAATTCAGTTGAAAGTATAAAATGAACAGTGCCTTTTCTCCTTTGTAATTAATACTAGTTACAATAGGAATTATATTACACCAATCATTTTACAAGTGTTACATGTTGACAAGCTGGCATTGGATTTTTTTAGGCTAATGTACCTTATATTATTAGTATTTACTGAAAGTAATGATTGGGTGCAATAATATAAATTTGAATAAATTTATATTCAAGTCCACTTTTACCACAAAAAACATTAATCTCTATTCTTTACCCAATGGGTAAGCATCCTTTTAGTATATTAAACCTCTCTGCACCATGACGATTAGTATCCTATTTCAACTAGGCAAAAAAAAGTCTTTATAACATATCATTAAGTCTGCTAAAAAAAACTTAATTTGCAACTAACTGAGTTTATTAAGTACAGTCTCCAGTAGAATTGGATGAGTGATACAATAATATTTTTAATGCTTTGGTAGTTATTATTGCTTTAACTGAATTCTTCCAACCATGGTACTAGATATTAATAAGTTGAATAAAAAAATAAATGAGTGTCAAAATATGTAGAGTGGAAGAAAAAATCTTAACTAAGGTCAAATCTGTTCAATGTGAACAGAATTCAGTTTAGATATTAAGATAAGTAATATGTCTCAGGTTGCTGGACACTGATTCTGTGAATGGGGCAAAACCTGAATTTATGGCACCTTAAATGAGCATTTTTAATATCAATTGCATAAAGACACAAGATATCATTCTATAATAAAGTACTGGTTCTTTTTCTTGAATATTTTCAACAAGGTTACTTTGCTGAAGAGGGGTGGGAAGTGCTAATTTGATTTGGGATACAAACTAGAATGATATTAGTATGAACAAAACTTTTAATTATACAAAGAGTATAATATTGGCCATTGTCTAGCTGCTTTCCTATGGATGACACAGCATTGTTTTCAGATATGTGCTAAAAGAATCATAAAAATAATAAATTATTGGACAAGGGTAATTATTTTGGAGTTTGTTGGGTAGACATTTTGCTTTCCAAGTTAAGAAATTGTTTTCAGATATGAATGTATTGATCTAATTATTATACAAATTATTACAATTCATTTGGAAAGTTGGAAGGATTGTTACGAGCTGTCATTTCTAATGAGACATTTTGGATAGCTATATCATTAAATTTTAATAGATTTCTTTTTTTAAAAAACCAATAAAATCTACTGTATTTGGTCCAGAGCAATAACAGTAATAATAATCATATTTGGTTTTGGCATGTATTAACCCTAACTCTGGTAGCACCATAATTTAAATTGGCTATGGGTATTGCAATTAAAAATCATGCTCCTGACAACTTGATAAAAGGAGCTGAAAAAAGAAGCATTTAGGGGACCTTTTCATGACTTGTGATTGAGTAATTGATTGGGGGGAAAAACCCAGCCTGATCAGATAAGATAACTCTTCTAAGATATATCTACTGCTAGAGAAGATTCTGTACATGAATTGCAATCATTTGGAGGTTGCTATAGTCCTTAGGACTTTTATCTTCTTTTCAGGCCCTTTCACTGGGAAGTCAGAGTATGATATTGGTGTGGAATGTCAGGTGAAGACAGGAATTCCACTGGTGTATTGACTGCATAATGGAAAACCTAACTGATCTGATTTGGGTAATCTTGAATATAATATTGGAGACACTCAAGGCATTGGGGGACTTCAGGACTTTACTGAAGCTGTCTTCCTTGAGAGGAACAGCCTTAGGTTTTTGTGGATTTCTTGGTTTCTTCATCTTTTACCATTCCATTTCACAGAATGCCCACGAAGCAAGTAATCTCATTCCTTAATCTCATTACTATCACAGTGGGAAATAATCTTGAGGTGTCCTTGGTGCTCTCTGAGTTTGGTTGTTTTATATCATATGTTTTATTACCCAAACTAGGTAACATAGGTTCTAGCACCAAGGACCCCTCATTTCAGCCCTGAATTACAAATCATCTTTATATCAATTCCAGAGTAGTGTCCATGCCATGGATGGAACATTGCCAGGTGAAAGATTACTGTTAAACCAAACTCATTGAATAGGTCAGGATATACTGTAAATTTGTCTGGTCCAGATCTTAAGTATGGTTGATCTAACTAGCAGTCCTTTCTTGAACTTGGCTGGCCACCCTATTGCAACCGGGTATAGACAGGAAATAATGTTTTCCTCCAGCATATCTTTGTTCCTGGGTCTATGGTGCATAATAGTATACAGAATGGTTGCAGGTGATGGAACGTGAGCGACTATTGGACACATCTAAGGATGAATCTGATCAGTCAAAGTATAAGCAATATACAGTAGATACCAAGCAATTTTTGTCATGAAGATAATGAGATTCATTTCATGAATTGGCAAGTCTGTCTGATTCATCTCAACAAAGCAATTCAGATAGTTCTGAACAGTGTTGAGGGAGCAGATTTCTTTTAAGCTTCTAAAAATGAAATGAAATGCTGGATGAAATACTGCTAGTCTGGATGCTTCAGAATTGCCCAAGAATAGGCTGGAGTGATCTAGTTCAGAAAAACTTTCACTGAGCTCCAAGGGACCTGACCATATCTATCAGGTACCACAGGATCCCAGAGCTTGTATTAACTATTGGCCAGAGGATGTAGCCATTGGTAGCTCTGGCCAAATATGCTAATTCCATCTGATTACATTATGAACACCTTGAGCTGTGGGTGTGTATGTAAAATTGCTTCGATGTATACTTGGTTTGATGCCATTTTGAGCAGTGGTACTCTTGATGAATTTAATGCACCATGTAATCTGATTTCTTAGGACTTGTACTTCACATTCACATCACAAAAGGTTCTTTGAAGTACTTAAGGGTACAAAAGTGGCACCTGCTTGCAATTCTTTAAAGCATCTATGTCGTTTCTCAAGATTGTGCAGCTGGCCTCTGTAGCGGGCAGACATTCCTGGAAGAAAATACAGCTAATTTAAAGATTTGCTGATATATGTGCTATGTTAATGCATCTTTCTGGAATTGAATCCAGGCACTGTACACTCTTATTATTCATCTGTATACGTTGCTTCCCTTGACTGGTCACCTACTTTCCTGTGATAGTAATGTGCAACAAGATGGGCTTCCTAGAGTTTTCCAGAAAGTTAGCAGTATGAATTACAAATACTCCTTGATTTACAACATTTTAATTTGTGACTGTTGGAAGTTACAATGGCACTGAAAAAAGTGATTTATGACTATTTTTCCCACTTACAACTGTTGTAGTATCCTGAATCCCTGACAAAGTCCTATGTTAATTTCTTATTTAATATAAATATATGAATGTCCTAGTTTTGGATTCTCTTCTGCTCTGCATGACTTTAGGCTATAAAGAGAAGAAACTGAGTAAGAAACTGAGTTCAAGAATATGGCTTGATTTGGGAATTTGAAAAATAGGTCTGATCAGGATTGGGATGCATTTCTTCTGGGAGATTAGACTGAACACCTAGGAATTCCTGGAGCCAATATTAATGTTGGACAACTATATTACATAGGTGGCGAGAGAAGCCTTTGATTGATAACCCTGGCAAAGCATAGATCAGGTCAGAGAATAAAACAAAAATTCAAAAATGCTATAAATGGTGTTATAGTTTTGAGGTCATATTCAAAGCCTTAAATCTACAGACCTTGGTATAACTACAGACATTGGCACAACACAAACATTGGTATAACACAGTCTCCAACCGTTCCAGCTCCAGGGACCAGCAGTAGTGCCGGAGGGGGGGGATGGTTTTGCATGCACGTGCCACTTTCACAACTGCAGGGGAGCACCCTTGCCCCCCATTCCATAGCCCAGTTCTTAATCTGCCAAGGCCCAGGCCGGGAGTTGGGGACCCCTGGTGTAACATGATACATTCTCTAAACTAGGTGTTCCTAATCTGGCTGTAAAAATCTGGATGATCAGCAGATGGAAGCAAAAATATGTAGAGAACTCTTAACCCTTTTCTGCTATCTCATAGTTGTCCAGA